TGAGTGATACGAGAGACATACCTGGTGCTTGAGGTGAATGGCATTAACTGAGATCTGCTCGTACTTCGGGGCGTTGTTGACGTCACCAGCGGCATTGTAGATAGGCTAGATAGGATCTGCCATTTGGTAGTCTGGGGCGCCAAATAGGATATCGACATTGGTTCTTTGTTAATGATGATGAGACTATTCGAACATTCTCAATTATGAGCTTTTGTTGTGCTCTTATTTGATGGGACTCGTGTTGCAATTCTGCTTTCAGTTCGACGTCACGACTATCTGGTCTCATGTGTATGATGCTGCTTGGTTTTTGATGTTCTCTATCGCTCATGGTACGTTGTGCTCATCTGGCGCCTGTCTTCTACCTTCGCGGTACATGCATGTGGTCTGCTGGGTGAAAGCGACCGTAGGGAGTGTGTAGTGAGGAGGGCGAAGGCAAGCAGGGCGACCCAGGAGGTGAGGGGTATCGCTAGGAAGGCTACGAGGTGAATGGTGGGTGTTCGCAGTGTGATGAGAACTATCTAATGTGCGATTGATGTTGAGGTGGAACGACGGTGTAATGCTGGTTATGTCGAAGCAGCGATTGGTCATCATGGTCGGCATTAGGTCATCTGGAAGGAGAGGGCGGAGCTATCTGAAGGGCCCTGGACGAAGCATTGCGTCACGGTCACCATGTGAACCCACCGGGAGTAGAGCACGCATGCTTTGCCTCTTTGTCCTTTGTCTGCTCGCTGCGCTTGTAGATGGGTGATGAGGGGCAGGCCAGCCCTATAGGGGAGACGAGTATCGGGCGTCTATAAATAAGCACCGACGGGGTTACCTTCCACAAGCTGTGATCGTCGTCCTGTCTGCGATGTTAAATAATTCCTGAGGACTTCAGGGGCCATCCTCAAACGCCTCCTGATCAGCCTGGTGGTCGGTGTAAGGCTCGCTGCGCGCGAGGATAAAAATAGTGCAGGGCTGGCCAGCTCAGCATACACTCGGGGCACAAGGGCGGTCCGTGTGCACACCTTTAGACATGCACGCTGTTCTGGATCGCTCAGGGATGCTGTTGTCAAGTGACCATCAAGAGGAATTGAGGGAGGGGTAGATTCCAGGTGATAAGTTCGTGTTCAATTCCACTCTGCAAATATCCACACAGATGATTCTATTTTTATTTTGACTAGTTAGATGGACTGACATTGACATTTACTCTGTTTGTGGACTAATTAAGTAAAAATAGTTTCGATTGTAGGAATCTGAACCTATCTGTTGGACCCGAATGTGTAGACTCTGAAATAGCCACCGGTTAATTAATTAATTTATTTATTTTAAATCGGTTTGTGCATGACCTGCGGTAGGCATCGAGTGAGTGACCTAGTGCAGTCGGTGTGCAGTTCTGTAGCTTATGAGCGACAGGGAGGAAACTAGAGATGACGACAAGATCCTGCGATCAGCGAGGCGCCCGATAGCCCACTTGGCATTAGGACCGGAGGGCGACAGATTCCTGTTCCGCCAGCAGAGAGAAAGGCAGCAGCAGCAGCGAAGAGCTAGGGACGTAGAGGCAAGGAGGGCATTCACCAGGGTTGTCAGGCGGGGGCCCCCGGGGGCAAAGCCGGGGTAGGGGTATTAACCCCGGACCCCCG